AAACATAACAAACAAAGGCCCTATAAAAAAAAAAAAAAAAAAAAAAAAAAAAAAAAATTAAGTCGATCGCACACAAGAGGATCAATTATTTAAATCAATGCAACTGATATCAGAAACGTAGAATAAAGTACAAGTAATACAGGCAATCATATTCAATTGCATCATTCAATGCGCGTTACAATTATTCTTTTAATTTTTTTCAAATACGCTTCTCTCAAACATAAATGTGGCACAAAATATATTAAAAGATTCATTTCCTTTTATCCTCTTCCTTAACGAGCATCTTCGTACGTATTCGAACTAACAAGATACGATTATAAAATACAATAATAGAGCGATCTCTCTCGTGATGGGAGAGAGATCTTTTTTAAAATATTTTTCAACATACACGGATATTACACGGATATCTATTATACATATAAATCTATATCTGATTTTATCAGAATAGCATACACAACACGGAAAAGCGCGACGGAGAGATCCTTCCGGCGATCGATATCTCGCCGAGTTGCCGCCCCGGGAACCGGGAATTTCGCTCGGAGGACAACGGCACCCGGACAATCGCGCTGTCACTTTTCCTCGCGCCGTGCCCGACGTTGTTTCCGGTGTCGCAGCATCCGGGTATCTCACCTGGTCGATTGGTAACCCGACGAGATCCGCGAGCCAGGAGAAGGTGCGAAAGCCGTCGTAGTAATCGTGGTCCATGATCGCGGCCATTGTCGAGGGATTCGACCAAAAATCGGGGTCCGCGATCGCGAGAGATACGCGAGACGGACCACGAGGTCGGCGTAACCAGAGAAGGATGAATCGATGACAGGCGGCGAGTTAGAACGTAACCGGATACAGGCGACGGTCAGCTGAGCGGTAACCATACACGCGAATGAGAGGCGGGCGGATGACTCCGGCGAACTAAAGCAAAGCGAGACGCGCACCAGCTCCGTTACCGGCATTTGGCATTCGCGTCATTTGGCGTGAGATGCTCGTGCTGCGGCGTCGTGCGTCGTGCCGCGGACCAATCGCTCGCTAGCGTGTATAATGAAGAGGTAGTCGTGTGAGTTATGCCCGTATCAGACTACGCATTAAAGATTGAGATTGAAAATTGAAGATTAAACAGATTCACCAATCAAAAGAAAAAGAGAAATAATATTAATATTATAATAATATTAATAAACTTAATATTAATATTACTTTATTAATATATTCATAACATAAATAATATTAATCTTTAATTTTCAATCTTTAATGTTAGTCTGATATGAACTTAAAGCCCGTATCAGACTACGCATTGAAAATTGAAGATTGAAGATTAAAGATTGGAATTTGACTAATCAGAACAAAAGGGACTAAAACTTCTTTGTCCTGATTGGTCAAATTTTAATCTTCAATCTTCAATCTCAATCTTCAATGCGTAGTCTGATACGGGCATTATAGTTATCATCGGAACTTGAAGAGATAATGGAAATCGCTCTATCTATTGTAATCGATTTCGCGATTTATTCACGATTAGACTGTATACTTTGAACATTAGCGCCTTTAAATGAGAAGAGAAATGGAAAACTTGATCGAGAGGAGATATAAAATAAAAAAGAATATATATACATATATCTTAAATTGCTATTATTTACCAAATTTATCTCTGTCAATGTTAATAGTCAATATACACATATATTTTGTGATAAATTTATATATAAAGTTATTGTTTATCTTTTTTCCTTTTGTCTTCACTCTTATATGTATGATTGATTGCATTAAAGAGAGATTATTAATCCAATGATAAAGATAAATATTATACAATTGATTTCAAATTTTGTATTTTTATGTGACACAATTATTTAAATATTTGTAGTTCTTTAAATTTTAAAAAGAGAAAAATTGAAAAGAAAGAATTTCTTATCATGATTGTAAATTATAGATTTGTTTTATCTTAATGTGACATTTCACATACAATTACTTTCTTTATGTAAAGGTACATTGTTTTTTTTTTTTGCAACAGATCCAGAGGGTATAATTTATCGTAATGGTAGATAAGGCTAATCTTTTTGGCTAGTCATTATTCTTGACAATTTCATGATTATTCTCTCATTCTTAAAAACTAGCATATTTATTTTACTGCTCCGATTTATTTTCATTAATTTTATTGTATTAATTATTAAACTTAAATTATTCATGCAACAGCTTAGCTAAGAATATTAATAAAATATATAGTTTATTATTTAGCGCAAAATGCATTTTCAAATGTTTGAGTAATGCATGTTATTAAACTTTATACTACATAAGATTATACATGGATATATACATATGTATCAAAGCCTTTAAAATAGTTGACCATTTTGTTTAATTAATATATTTTCTTTCTTTACGAGTTTTCTTGTAAATGCGATTATTTCATATATATATATATATATATCGCTATGTTTTTAGATATATTTGAAAAATAATGTACATCAAATTTCATTATTGCACAGGTACTATTTTTCTCATATACTCTTTCTTATAATACATACGGTATTTACATACATTTTTCAACTTTTATATATATTCTTGAAACATATAATTATACATATATATTTTAGATATGTCCTAAAATATGTGTTAAAGCAGATCACAAATGTTCAAATTGTTGTCTTAAATGACATATATATGATGTAATCGTCTGATTATGCTCTATATTATTAACATAACTCGACAAACATGCTCGCCTGAATAGATATTACCGTCTCTGATAAGTTAAACTACAAAACAAATACAAGAAAATATAGAAAATAGAATCTTTTTCATTTATAATAATAATAATTATATAAATACATATTTAAAAAAAATGTTTATGATTTGAAAGTATAAAACAATTTTTTATAAATATTCTCTACATAATTTTTCGAGCACTTATCATTATCACTTTTAATATTTACACTGTACATTATTTAACCAATTTTAAATATTTTATACATTTTGTTAAGTATAAGAATTATTTTTTTATACACTTCATATTAAACATTATATTAAGCTATAATGCCATAAAGTGATAGTGTGCTACCACTGCTATTCTAACTCAAAAAGAGAATTATAAGCTAGTTAATGCTTTGATAGCATACAATAAATGTATTGCCTTGTCAGTCATGATTAAAAATCCATCTATTACAATTTCTTTAATGTTAAATTAAATTAGTTGACTATAAAATCAATTTAATATGTAATTAAATATATATTCACTATTTTATTAATTCAATAATCTCTCTCTCTCTCTCTCTCTCTCTCTCTTCCAACATAAGAAAGATAGTTATATAATAGTCACTTTTTTCAGATATATTTGAATTTGAAATTATATGTATATAATTTATCTTTCAGTAAAAATTTTATTAAATTTTATTATATAGTTTCCTTTTTTTTAATTTTCGAAAAAAAGTATTTCGGTTCTTATATTAAATTATTATCAATTTTCACTAGCTAAATAAGATTTTCTTCTATATGATCCCAAAATTTAATAAGCTAAAGTAATTTAACTGTCAATGTTCATTAAGAGTAGTTAAGAGCAAAATAATCTCTGCTGCTAAGAAAATTAAATTCAAGTTCAAAAGGCAATCTGAAATTGGCAGATAATATATACGTAATTTTTGATACACACTACATCTTATATTGCTTTATTTTATTTTTATTTTATGCAGCTTGAGTTTGAAACCGAGCAGCTCTGACAGTACTCCTGAAAGTGCTGATAGTAATACTACTTTAGTAATAGTATATAGATACGGATTAGCTGAGAGCCCAGAGATCTTGAATGGACTCTCCAATTCCTATAAAGTATCCCATTGGATTAATTAACATTTATATTAGCCATTTATCAAATTTGCGATAGAAACACATACCTTTATCAAGTCAGCTGCTAATTTCAATACACTATTTGCGACCATAAGTTCTTCCTTCTTATGTGGCTTTTGTTCAATTTGCAAATATAAATTGATCTGAAAGTTGTGTCGAAAATTATAAATGCTTGAATGTGTTTGTATGAAAGAAAGGGAGAGAGAATTAAAAAAATCTAGAATAAAAATGCAAGTATATTATTGTAAAACTTACTTGCTCGGTTATCAAAACTGAGAGATTTCTATACTTCTTGTTGATTTTTGTTCCTAATGTCATAAATCGTAATATAAATATTCCAAGCGAGAAGCTCCAAAATAACGCTTCGACGTTATATCGCGAGTGTAGGCTTTCAAGATCCTAAAATATGATTTACAATGTTGAGAGAAAAAATGTGAAAGCAATATGTTAAAAAAAATCTATGAAAAACATACTTACTTTAATCAATTCCAAACTTACGAATGACAGCAATAATATCGTAACGATAAATACCGCCGATACAATAACATCCACAGACCGTTGCGGACCTCTTCGCTAAAATCCGAAATTGTATAATGTCAGACATATGCAATTATAATTTTTAAAACGTTAACGTTTAGTATTCTTACTTTCAGATAAGATCTAACACTCAACCACGTTTTTATGTTGCGCACTTTGTTCAAGCGAAAATGTGGCAAATCAGATTTTTGCGCACGTCTAGACGACGTTAAATGAGAGAATAACTTAGCATACAGAAGTCTCTGCTTGTATGTGCGTTCCGCGACTGCGAGTAAGAAAAATAAAAAGCACGACAGCATAAGTCGCTCGAACGTCGAAATAATTACCAGTATTCGTTCCCTAAGAAAGAAACAATTTAAGGGAGCTTTCACTCTTCAAGTAACTATTAATTTTCTAGATATTTTAAATAAGATGTAATGTCATATTTTAGCGGGATATTCTCTCTTACCAGAAAGTACTTCCAAATGCTATACCAATTATTCTACACAAAATATCGGTATAAGTTTCCAAGTTCACTTGAATCATATCACTCGGTAATAGGCTGACAGACACATTACTAATGTTATCCGATCCTATATGATCGCTCAGTCGTTTTATTGACGGTATTAGACATAGTGCGATGCTAAGTATCAGACCACTGTAAAAATAATTCATGCTCTCTGGCATAGATTCGACTCTGGCGATGATTGCTGAACTGATGTCCAACACTGATAACTCGGCTTTCTTGATATCACGTCGCGTCCAAATCGTACATGAAACTATAAACAAAGATAGAAATTAGAGGCTATTAAATCTACTCTATTTACTATAGGATGAACCAGATAATTGTATATGCATGAAATGTGTTTGTCATTACTAACCACGATCAGACGATGTACAAGTAGAATTTAATAATATCGAAGGTGGCAACTCAAATTCCCAAGAGAAGGGATGTTCCACAAATTCTCCATAATTAAGATTGGTCTCACTGGCTAAATCAGATTCTCCAAGTTCTGAACTACAATAATTTCGCGTTTTGTAATAAACTATATAATCGCAAAAAACTATAACTTATTAAGGAAATAAATTTAAATCTCACCTGTAACTACAGTCGTCGCTATTAGTTGTTACTCCCATCCATTCTGTAGCTGAAGTTGTTGCTTCTGTGAGATGATGCGTTGTAGCTTCCTCGCACTCGCCTTCCTCCTCACTCTCGCACTGCTGCCGTGCTTCTCTTGAGCCCAATATTTTTGACGGCACATTTTTCTCCTGCAAAATTAACAGCATTAGCAGAATCAGCAAAATAATATTATGTGCATAAAACATAAACTAAATCACTCAACACCAAAAAAAATAAATAAATAAATAAATAAATAAATAAATAAAAATAAAAAAAAAATAAAAAAAAAAGGAAGGGAAAAATAGAATTGACTTATTTAAGAGATAAGTGCAATTGTAGGAAAAGTAGTATTTGAATAATGTTAAAATATATAAATCTAAAAATAGATAAAACATAGAGTACCTCAATACTGTTGTGAATATTGCTTTTACTATCCGTAAACTTGTCATCATTTTTTAATGGGTCGGGTGCTGCGTGGAAAGTGGAAAACGATGATTTAGCTATTACTCCATTTTTTACCTTTCCAACAAAGATTAAAGCGTGTTAGCGGTTCGAAATGCAACTAAATATGAAAACAAATGAAAAGACTTCTCAATCATACATTTTCATAGGATATTTATATGAATCCTAAAATCGAAAGAAGCACTAAATATACTTGCAAACTTAACAAGTTACATGTTTTTATAACTTTTGCATGTCACCACGAATTCAATAGCAAATAAAACTTTATAACTAATTTTGTAAAATATTAATTAGTTACAAACTATTTTACAAGCGTGTACTTGTAACTCAAACCTGAGCGTTGTGGTGGAAGTGAAACTTGTTGACTAGTGCTATCTTCCGACCACGACATACGGTCTTTATTTTGTCGTGCTACTCCTTGCCGTGATCTATTTCCTTGCACCATTGCACGGCCTATTATTTTGTCATTATCACTAGAAACATTACCATTTAAACTCTCAAAGCCATCGTCATCTTGATGTATATTCGCCACATGTTCTTCTGGCATATCATCTATTACAGACGTAGAGAAATTTAGACATTTGAATCCCAAAATATACGAATTTGCAGAAATAAATAATAATACTCTTACCCGGCTGTTCATGATTAGCTGAGCTTTCGTTTGGGGGATTGGAATTCTCCCCAGTTGCACTTATTGCCTCTTTGTCAAACACTATTTGAGCATTTGCAGATTCCTGTTACAATAGAAAATATATATATGTGTATGTGTGTGCGTACATGAGTGAGTGTGTGTGTGTGAGTGTGTGTGTGTGTGTGTGTGTGTGTATACAGACATGTTTTTCAAAATATCATAAATTTGAATCAATCAGTACTCACTTGAGCTTGATTAATGGTTGAAGAATTCTCGATTACCACTTTTTTAGCAAATCTTACTGCAGTGAATACTTCTTCACTTCCTGTACTTGCCTTCTCAGAGGCAATATCTTGAGAAGATTTTGAATCCTTATGTATACCTTTAATGAAGATTTATTCCATTTTAATTTATAAAAAAAATAATAAACACTATTTTTGTACTATTACATACTTACGTAAATTTTGTCTATGCCTGGACTTTCCGTTTCTGCATCTAATATGTCGAGAGCGTCTCGTTATTCGTTGTCTGGATTGATTACATAGCATAGTAGGACCTGAATGTGTTGATACAATATGGGAGTGAACAATACACAGAACAAACATCATAACGACAGGTACTAATACTTCTGACATCGATACAATCTGTAAACAAACATGTGATAATCAGAATGGAAAGTAATGCAACATGCTCTAAAATATCAACAACTTCTTTACATACTTCTGCTTCATTTTCTCTATTTGCATAAATGTAATACAAGGAAAGGTTGACCACTTGCAAGCTATATAGTAACAAGAAAAACAGGAAGATGCGATAACTTGTTTGCTGTATCCACCACTTTTTGTACAATGGAAGAAACAAGAGTCGCTGAAATGCTAGACAAGCTACTGTTGACAAGCCATGCTTTGGTTTGGCTTTTGGAAATGAAGATCCTATATACATTGATATATCACAGATTAATATACATGCTTATCAAGAAGAATGCTAAAATAATATTCTGTATATATATAGTTGCTAAAATCTATATAGCATACCACGAACAAGATCAACGTCAATTAATTCTGTTTTAAGTTTTGCTGTTCTCATTGGAATATGCGTAAGTCCATCGAGAATATATTGCTCTATGGTTCTTTCCCATTGTTGTTTATCATATGTACCAATCTTTTTTTGATACCTGAAAGGATTTTTTAAATTTATTATTTGATCTTTTATATTATATTATTTTTATACATTTTCTATATATTTTCTAAATACTTTACTTTTGATTTGATATTAATTTAATATTGATTTGATATTAATTACTTTTCTATTTCACTTTTGATTTGATATTAATTTAGCAAATTCAAATTAAACGCAGAGCTCGAGGCGATGACAAAACGGTCAAATTAAATTAATTTGATGACAATCGAGATTTCTTACCAATGTACCAATTCGTTGAGTTCCATATTCATTAAACGCATTAAAATATCCGATAATAATACTCGTTGGTTGCTACAAATATATTTAAGAATCTGCGAAGAAACAAAATGCAATTTTTCGCAAATTGTTATGCGAAATCGGAATAATATTATATGATATAAGCAATATTGAAACAATATTGTATCATTGTATCTCGACGATATCGAGTGCTATGATAAATTTTTGGTTTTATTCACGCACTCGGCTCGTGTAAAGAGCTATTTCAACAATTTCGCATCGTCATCATCTGTTAGCGTCGAAAGAAATCAGACTGGCTGGAATTGATCGCAAGACGAAACGATTTGACGGACAACAAAGCACAATCCATAGGTCTAGAATCTAGAAGTCTAGATGGACGGAATATATCGTAGTATTATCGTCGTTCGATTTGATGTCTTCGAGGGATGGAGAAAAAAGATGGCGATCTCTTCTGTTGTGATTCTCCATTAAGATGGCGGTTGACAGATAGCGAATAAATTTCAGATGACAGCACCGATACCACATCTTATAGCAGTGTTTTATGACATTATAGATGTCAATTCTACGTGATCGTAATTGACGTGTGATGTTGAGAAACATCTGTAAGTGCATTTCAAAAAAATGTACGATGCATATCCACAGAAAAATAAATCAAAGTAAAACATGATTATATATTGGATCCATGATCCTATATTATATGTATGTAATATTTTTAAATTTAAAAAATGGAGGATATTGTTATTTATTGGCATTTGTGCCTTTGTTTTAAGAATAAATATCATTATACAAAGTTTGTATCCTTCTGTAACACAATTGACGGAACAACATAAGTGTCCAGCGTGTTATGGAGTTTCTGCGTGTTATAATATTCACCAAATAAACCTGTTATGGCACAATATTAATACAATAGTTTCTCACTTATTTGGTGTTAAAAATGTGTTCTTTGCAACATATAATCAAAGCAAGGTAGTGCTGAAGAAATTGGCGCAATCTTCTGAATTAAAAGCATTTGACGTTGCATTGTGTAAAAAACTCCATCTGGAATATCCTTGTATGAATGTTCTATTGGACAAGTACATAGTAGATTTTGATAATAGTATCAAAGAAACAATTACTTCCAATTTTTCTAAAGATGATTCTAGCCGTTTGAGACTTTGTCCAACAATACAACATTTGGATGATTTATTTTATAACATTCATCTTAACAATAAACATATTGATCCCACACAATATTTAATTAATCTCTGGACATTGGTTTCTTTAAACCCAGAGCCATTAATCCTTCAGGTAAATTGTAAAAACATAACAATTTATAATTCATATAGATAATATTATTAAATTATAGAGAAATAAATTATATATTGTAGATAATGTTGAATTATTCTTTAATAAACAATTGGATGTAATTATATACCTCAATTTCTTTCAGATATTGTCTGCGGAAAATGGGTGGCCAGTGCCAAAATATTTTGGAGCATGTGGCCGAATTATTATCGAAGAATATATTGGACCACCACTTTCTGATTATTATGATAAATCTTGGATTCAAAGAGCAAAAATAGTATCGAGTCTTTTAAATGCCGCTCACATGTTCACTTTCAAAAATAAAAAATTTGGTTTTTATTTAACAGATGTATCGGCCGATAATATTGCTGTCGATTATAAAAATGTAGCAAAATTTATCGATTTAGAAAATATTATTGTTGTTGACAAAAATATTTCTCTAGAAGGTACAATAATTTTTTTTTTATTACAAGAACATTTATAACATGATATTGTAATTTGAGATAGGAAAATAAAGTTTACATATACTCCATATGCATAATAACATTAATTTGTAGGCATACCAAAAGAATGGCATGAATTACAAAAGAACATAATGCATTTTGATTGTTCTAATTGTTTTGCATTTTCCGCCGAAGATATTTGCAATCATCATCTAAGCGACCACAATTATTATGCAATCTGTCAGGTAATTGCTCTATTTCATTAATAAACCTAAGTCATTTTTATACCTTTTTACATGTGTATTATAAAAATATATAAATATATGTTGTATATCTGAAACAGAAAATCTGTAATTACAGCTTTTGTTAGATTCAACAAATGAAAATGTATTTCCTGGTGGATTTCTTCATGATGTACCTGTTAATATTCAACTGCGATATCCAAATATTGAATATCTGTTACAACAATGTGCCATTCCTAATTCTACCAATTCTAGGATATTTTTCGGTCAGCAACTTAAGACATCATTGGATGCAATTTTAGAAGAATTGTTTTAATACGAATACAATGAAATAAAATAGTTTAAAGAATCACATTGCACATGTAAAATATTGCAAATTTATAATTCTTTTTTATATTCAAAGAATGTTTTACAATCTTTTATATTAATAATTTTCAATGATCAAAGAATAGTTTCTTATCATAATAAATAGTTTCTAATGATGTACAATAAAATTACAAACAAAATGATCACAATTAAGCTTATAGGATATCTAAATTTAATATCATTTTTATTACTTCAATATCTATATTTATCTATATTATAAGAATTAATGATAATTAATACAGCCGAATATATTTGTATATATAAATTTTAATAAATACAGTAAAAATCTTTGTACATATGTAATTAATACTATACACATAGTAACAATAAAAAATATATTTTATACTACATAACACAATCTTGCATATTTTATGTTTAACTTATCTAATAGGCCTTATTGTATCGTTTTACAATTAATACAGCCGAATATATTTGTATATATAAATTTTAATAAATACAGTAAAAATCTTTGTACATATGTAATTAATACTATACACATAGTAACAATAAAAAATATATTTTATACTACATAACACAATCTTGGATTTAGTTACGTTAACTTATCTAATAGGCCTTATTGTATCGTTTTACAGTCTTGTTTCATAAACTTCAGATAGTTAATATTTAATAATGTCAAATAGTTAATGATTAAAACTTGACTGGCTAAGCTTACTGATCAATGTAAATAATGAATACTTGGAAAATGTAAGCAATGTAAAAATTATTCTATACAAATGTATTATGCGTCCATGGTAGTATAAAAAAGCTTAATTAAAAAGTTAAAATCTGCAAATATTTAAGAATTGATTATATTTTATCATGTGTGTAATTATGAGTTATTACTTTCTATAAAAGAATTTGAGTGAAAAAAATTATGATTACCGTCGGCAAGTCTTTTATTTCCTTCTAACATAGCAGCCTACTCTATTATATCTTTGGGTGGATCTTTTAGCTTCTTAACTTCCTTTTTTAATAATGCGATTTTTTCCTCCAAGTCTTGAATCCTGTTATCCTTATCGCGAATATCATTTTCCAATATCACAACGGTAGCTTTCAATTCAGTTATTGTCATATCCTCGTCCTTTTTTAAATTCTGCAAAAGTTCTTTTGTCCATGGTCGTTTGACAGGATCCTCTTGCACCATTTGTATGATCATTTGTGCCTAAGCAAAAGAAAGCAATCTAGATATAACAGAAAATATACATGTAAATGTAACAAAATATAAATATGAATGTAATATAATATAACATAAAATATAATAAACATAATTCAATATACTTAAGATTTACCCATTTATGTCGCTCTATGGGAAGACCTGTTGGTATGTTACCATGTTTTAAACAATGAATTATAGAGCTCAATTCCATTTGAGTCTGTGTTGGAATTAAAAGCTCGATGAGAACAATTCCTACACTATAAATATCACTCTACAAATATGAAAATGTCAAATTAATATTAAAATACTATTTTTATATTTATCAAAGTTTTTTTTCTTTCTCACACATTTACCTTTGGATCACATTTTCCCTGTAATTGTTCCGGTGCTGCATACATATGAGTACCACATGCAGAATGACTTTTTTTTCCTTGTGGCTTTAGCGGGCAAGCTAAACCAAAATCACCCAATTGAATTTGAAGTTGTCCTGACATCGAAATGAATATATTACGTGGCTGTAACATAAACATTCTATTATATTTCACAAGAATATAATATTATCAATTGATATTAATTAAAATAAGCATATTCACTTTTATATCGTGATGCACGACATTTTGGGAATGGATATAGTCGATTCCACAAAGAATTTGTTTCAATATTTCTTTAATCATTGGTTCAGGTGATACATTTATTCTACCACGCATCCACTGTTCAAGTGTTTGTTCACACAAGGACATTTGAATGTACAAAATCATGTACTGATGATTCTAGGTTAGGTAAATAACACAAGATAAATATTAAAATTTATGGATACAAATATACATGAATCTTTGTTTGAAAATAATACAATATATCATAAATATCATAACTTATAAGATTTTATCGATTTTTATATCATATAATCTACTTACTTCATTGGAGATATATGTGCATACTTCTTGGCTGGTGGATTCCTCATACAAATTATGATCGGTATGATTAGTATTATCTTCAGTTTGATTCAAATTCTTATTCTTCTTGCTATTTCTGAAAGATACTATGTCTGAACTGGTTTCTTCGATATGTTTTGCTATACTAGCTTCTTCGACTATCCGCTCTCCTATAATACCAGTTGATGAATTCAGTTTCTTAAATCTTTCACTAAACTTTTGACTAATTCTAAAATCACCAGCATTATCATATTTTCCATTTTGCTGTTTCACTAAGCTGTTTTTTTATCAAGTGATATATCTTCATGCCCTTATTATTGTCATTAAGGTATGAATTATTACCGTTACTGTATGAATCCTTGGTAGACTGCAAATTGTACGATTTAGACTCTTCTGTGTCATCTGAAGTATGCGACTTATATGATTTATTATCTATTAATGATGAGTGAATAAAGGATGGCATTTCGATTGTTGCTACTTCAATCCAAGCTGCTTTGTAGGAAACAATATTCGCATGATTTAATTTAGCCAATGTTTTTACTTCATTTAGATGCTGCTTTAAAGTATTTGCATGCCTAGGGGTTACAGATATCTTTTTAACTGCATAATCGATACCGTCGAGACGATGTTGTGCTTTATAAACTTCACCAAATCCTCCACTAGCAATAAAGCTTATTTCATGAAATTCCCGGCGATACCGAGATATTTCAGATAAGTTACTGTGTACAAAAACAAATAATATTGATGTTATATTATAATATATATTGAGTTAAACAAAAAGTTCGTGCTGTTCTTTTGATCTTCATCTGTTAGCAAAAAACGGAACAAACTTTCCATTCAAACCAATATATATTGCAAAATTTGTAAATATATCAAACATTACAATATGTACCTAAGTGTACATAAAGGATTTTCACTTCCATTTGCAGAATGTGCAATTTTGATCAGTTGATAAAGAGCATGTTCATATTTCTCCCTTAGTCTCTCAAATTCCATCATATTGCAGGACCTATCAATTATTTGTAATTTATACAACTGATCACAGATATCTGTAAAAATATTATTTTTTAATAATTTTTATTATAAATATTTCTGTACATATCTGAAAAAAATTTTATAAGTTGTGGTTACCATAATATAATTTATTTCTGCGTGCTTTATCCTTTTCTAATATAAAACATATCTGTTTTACAAGAGACTGAATTACAACACCAGAGGAAAAATTTACTCGTTGTGTGATTTGTCCATTGGTTGAATTTTCAGTATTATTGTTTAGACAAAAGGTCGAGTTCATGTTACTACCTATTTTCATAAAAAATTTCATTTCTTTTTAGTATTCTGATCTTGATCATAAAAATTATAAAAACTTCTAATTCACTTAAATTTTTGATAATATTCGTAATGCAATGTATGATGTAACATAAATATAATAATATAATATACACTAGAAGTCATTACAATTACATTCTCTTAAATGATTTCTTTCATCATATTTAAATGAATTATTCGTTTTAGAAAAAAGTTTACACCAAAAATGTCAAAAATCTTTGTTATATTGGTAATGATATTTCTTTTCCTTTTGAAACTTACTTTCCACATTTCCTGTAAAATACAAATTTTAAGATAATATAATTTCGAAAATAAATAATTCAAATGTAACAAACAACTCGTTTATTTGAATAACTGTTAGTTAAATAAAAACTTTGCAAGTATTTTGAAAAAAAAAAGAAAAAAAGCAAAAAAAGCGAGATGATCAGTAATGCACGCTATATACAATATTACAATATTACGTTTTATATATATATATATATATATATAACATACCCTGATCGAACGTAGTTACAGTCATTAGAGTATTCCAAGGATGGTTCGTTCGCTCTGTATTTTCTGCCATTTCATCTGATATCGATAGATTTAAATTCTTTCTGAGCTTCAGAACTTCTCAATGTTGAGCCTGTGACAGCAACTACAGCACGTTTCCTACTAGACTGCAAACGAATCGCAAACTGTCACGTTCGTACATGTTCACCGAATGTTGACCTAACCTAATCTCTCGCGAAATCCTTACAGCAGCCGCATTTAGGTAACGTGTATTTAGATGGGCGGTCTTTAACATCCACGAATATTGAAGTGAGACAACGCACTGTTTTGCGAATTTTGACATTATACGAAGATATACGAAACAAGTGGTTTGAATGCTCGCGAACATTCTGGAACTTTCCTTGTCAAACGCTAGGGACTAGGGAACTCAATGTTTCTCGCGCATGCGTGCATTCGACGTAGTCTCTTCGAAATATAAAAAGGCATCTTTAAGCTCGTATCAGACTACGTATTGAAGATTGAAATTTGACCAATCAGGATAAAAGGAACTAAAATTTCCTTGTCCTGATTGGTCAAATTTCAATCTCAATTTCTCAATGCATAGTCTGATACGGGCTTTAAGGTATTTTTACATGGCAGTGTTGAGCATTGAGCCTATCTAGATAGATTTGTATAGTTACATAAAGAAAATATAAGAAGACTGATAAGGAGATTGATTGATTATATAAGGAAATTGATTGGCCTATTTCTTTATGCATTTGCTTATGGAATGATGATGATGAATTAATAGATGCGCGGTTCATTTTGACTCTATTCTAAAAAATTTTTCTTCAATTTCCAAAGATTATTACCGAATAATCTATATGACCGAATAAAAATACGCAGAAAAATGCACAGAATTTAATTTCGATTTTTTTTTCGTTCGAATTTGGATAATATTCTCATTTTTTTTTAAATGAAAATTTATCCACCGATGATATCAACATCTCGTCGATGATAATTTGCGAACATAATTGCAAGATATATAATTAAAAACGTGCATGAGGGGTGATTTATAGCGTACGCCTGATGATCGAGAGAGCCCGCGACATCTCTCGTTTCTTCACGTGTCGCATGTCGCGCGTGTTCACGTCAGTACGTTAGAAAAATCTTGATACGATTGCATTTCAATATGGCGAACCGCGACAAAGGACGCAGAAAGTGGGGAGGATATTCACAAGGTACTTTGACGATAACTTTTATTATCTCGCGATCGCGTACGAAACGACGTCGTATTGTCGCTGATACCCTCGTGCACCCGGCCTGGGGTCAAATTCGTCAACCTCCCTCGCAAGATTCGATGTGCAAAATTAACCTCAAACTAAACCTCACTAAACAAGCTAACCTATAAGTTACGGCGGGCACTTGTGATGTCGCGTTATTTTATGGCGTTTGGCGACGCAACGATTGAATCCGGCCATCACAATCTGCTTTGTCTAACGAAGTAAATTAAAAATATTATCGATCTTTATAATCGTCCTCGGATACAGAGTCTTCTTTCGAGGACGAACGGTCTGTCTAATAAATTCCAGCGCTGTCAAGAGAGTGTCAACATAAATGATTCAATATATTTTTGTAAAAAACAATTAATATTTCGCCGTTCACATTCTCTAACTTTGCTACACTTGCACATATAGAGAGAAATTTAGCTATGAAACATACAGAAAGAATTTTAGCTACGAAACCTGAAACCCTTTCAGAGATCTATGAAATGTGTTTATCAGAGTTTTCTTTATCTCCTCTTGTGTCAACATTTTTGATCTGTGCATACAATATTAGGTCTGTTCTTTATAGCTGAATTGGCTGCGGTAGTGGCACTAGTTCAGAGTTTATCTTTTTCTCTCCACATTGGAAAGAGAAAGATAAACTCTGACTAGTATAGTCAGTTCAGCTATAAAGAACAGATCTTATATATGCAATATTGAGCAAGTTTCCATACATGTTACACAAAGAATGTATTGTCTAATATTACAATATTTTGTCCCTTTATTTCTTATGTACTGTGTATTTGTATTATACTGTAGAGATAATGCAAAAAGTATATTTAACAGAACAAAGTCATAATTTATAAGCAATATATAATTTACAAATAATATATGTTAATTCATCAAAAAAATTGTTGCTATTATATAAATATCTTTATTGAAATATCTTTATTGAAATATCTTGAATAAAGATTTATTTTATTCATCAATTATTTATATATATGTGTGATGAATAAAATGGCAATTGTGAGATATGTATTAAATATTTAAATAAAATATTTGTATGGAAAAAAATTTATATATAAAATAATATTTTTATATTGTAAAAATCAATTTCAGAATTAACGAGTTCTAAATTGGAGAAAGATAGATTGATGGGAATGCGCGGCGGAGGGAATAGAGCATCTCAGGCCTTATATAGACCAGGAAGCGGCCCTTTACGCAAGTCAGGCAGATCTGGCAATGATGCTGATGAATTTGACAATGAAAATGGCTCGCAAGAAAAATCCAGATCAACTTCTGTTCAGTATCGTTTGAGACAGTCACAACTGAATAGATCTAATCAAGCACAGGATAGTCCACCTTTATCACAAATCGACAATGTAACTGAAAAATTAGGCAATACCCATATCGACTATAGAAATAGCAACAATAGTGAATCGGCACAGAGTACTGGACACAATATTAGTGCAGGAATAGGAGGAAATGATTCAAAAAGGAAAAATAGAAAACCTGAACAATTGCTATATGTACCAAAAAAAGTGAAAGAAGCATTGGCTGAACAAGATGGAATTAATAGGTAAAAAAGTCGCGTGTTTTGTTTCCATTAATGTAAAAAAGATTGCAAAAAGATAACGATATAAAAATAATTTCTAACATAAGAGAATAATGCAATAACAATTTTTTATTACATTATTATAACATTAGATGTTAAATTTTCTTAGATCTCCCAGTCATACTGCATGGGAACGAGAGAGAGAAGAGAGCGATGATCGTGATTCCCATTCCAATCGTAGTCACAGAAGTGATCGTAATCGCGGAAGCAGTCACAGTGTACGAGATAATGACAGCGAAGGCAGGGGCAAAGATGACAACAGCAAACGGTATTCGGGCAACCGACGACATCGTCATACCAATGAAAATGAGGAATTTTGGCGAACCAATTCGCCGATATCTGCTAGAAACTATGCGAATCGGAAGGATAATCTACGCGAAGTCAGACAGGTTTGTAAACTAAAATAAATTATTCTATAATAATCATGGATCACATAAAATCACGAGTTATAAAATTATAATGTACTCTTGTGCAAAATTTGTACAATATAAAAAAATATTTTTTTCTGTGTTAGGGTTCTGAACCTTTGTCTATGACCAATCAGAATGATTTTAATCGTACAAGAGATACGCGTAGTGTGGAACCTATTGGACATTTAGACAAATTTCAAGGCAAACCACCCTCTGGCAGACGCGGTAATGCAAAAGACAGTTTGTCGAAAAATATGAAGTTGGAGCTTCTACCACCACGATTGCAAAAGAAATATCTCATTGATAACGGATACGTGTTACCTAGCAACAATCCGGGAACATCCACAGAGGACTCCTGGAATGGTAGCAGTGTTACATTTCAGGTAAAGATTTGTTCAATGTCAATTATATAATTTTTTGTATACTTATGCACATTGGCTTGTATCAAATATGATGATTGAAGTAACATCATATATGAAACGCAACATGAATTGTTAGCAGGCTTCATCCAGTTATAATTATCCATCAGCAATGCAGCATTCACAAACAATGCAGAATTTGCCGCCATCTGGGCCATTACCACCACAATCTAATTGGGCTAACACCATACCAGTGAGAAGCAGAGGAAGAGGTAGACTCAGACCAGAGGAACTGGAAGGTACAGCAAGCAGCATCTTCAGACCTGTTACTCCTGAACAATATTCGGCGCCGAGTTCCAGATCCCATACTCCTAGCCAGGAATATATGAATCGGTACAAATATATTTATTTATATTTATAAAAAAATGAATAATCTTACAAATCTGTACAAAAATTACATTGAAACATTATAAAACTCTTGGCAGATCTTATGATCGTCGTGGTAGTAACAGCACTATGTATACCAGTATGGAAAGTTTAAGCCGCGCTGACAGTGCCATGATGCCACCGCCGTCATCTGTGTCGCCGGCAACTTCACAATCCAATTCAAACAGGGGCCACAGGTCACCCGAGATTCATCGCAGAGGTGCAACATCACCGATCAGCAATCGCACTAGCACTATGTAATCAAATATTTAAACAATTGTTTCTTCTTTTTCTTTATACTTTTTATATGATTAATAACTGCGTTGATTTTTAATCAAGGCAAAGAACAACCAGTAACACGAACGAGCATAATTCGAGTCTAGATAAACAGAGCAATCAACAAAACACAAATCTCAGCTCCATGAAAAGCGAATCATTTAATACATCGTCTATTACCGCATCTGAAACATTTGTAAGTACATAAATTAAATTCTATACCAGAAGTATTCTTGGGGTAATGTAAACTAATATAAAACTAATGTGTTTCAGGACTGGAGCGAAGAGGTTGAATTGAATGAAAAGTTGGAACAGGAATATTTGAGCCGTAGTTCGTCAGTTTTAAGTATACGCGAGAGCGTAACTATGCCGCGAAGTCAGGCTGTAGGCGAGAGTTACAAGCGACGTAAAAAAAAAAAACGCGATAAACATCGAGATGCTGATCGGTAAGCATTACTTTATCATATTATCTTATCTATTTGCCCTTTTTGTCGTTTAAAAACAGTTTAAAAGTTACAATAAGATTCAGATAAGTTTTTTCTTCGCGTAATTTTGTTCTATATTTTTTCCATAAGACAAATGTGTTAGGCCCTGCGCACAATAGAGAAAATATTAGGAATAGAAATAAAATATTAAATATCAGGAGGAGCAATTTGGAATTATTTTACTTCAAACAAGGAAACGGAATGGATTAATTATTTCTAATTTTTATTTTTTCATTTCATTATGCGTTAATCCATTTCGTTCCCTTGTTTGAAGTAAAATAATTCCAAATTGCTCCTGATATTTAATATTTTATTCCTATTCCTAATATTTCCTCTATTGTGCGCAGGGCCTTACTTTTCATATTATAAGAAATCACGTGACGATATGCGCAGGCGCATCTCTTTACATATTCGAGCGCATGCGCAAATTCGCGGCGATTCAATCTCGTTTATGGTGGAGGTATCGGATAATTCTTTTCCAGGAATTTTTTGTTTATCGCGTTCTATATTGCCAAAGTTATCCGGATTCTATTGTACAAATGTGAATGTCGAAGGATTCTTTGTAACGTTATGTTTTTTAAATTATTCAAGTGGTAGCAGCAGAGACAAAGGGCGAGGTAACAGCCGCGAACGTCAGAAGAATCAACAAAACAGAGAGAACGATAACTGCAACATTAATCAAAAGAATAATAATAATAACAACAATAGTAACAGGCGATACGATCACAGAAGGCGTAGTATTATTCAGCGTAGCCGCGAGTCGAGTAAAGACAGAAACTATGGTAGCAATTACAGAAGCTTTGATGATCTTCACAGACGCAGGTATTTACTTTGTTAAAAGCTTATATTACATGCGCCAACATAATTTTCAATTTTATCTTAGATTAGATAATGAATATTTTATTTTATAGATTAGATTATATATAACGAATATTTTATTTTAGAACTGACAGATACTTGGATGAGGATTGGAGAACAGGCAGGAAGATATCGACTTGTGAATCTGATGACGGCAGACAAACTCCTAAAGTTTCTTCTCATACTACTCCTCTTCCGAGTATGAATTCTAACTTGGCGGTACATCGTTCATCTCCGACAGGGCACAGTAATGCTCAACCAGGTGTCTTGATCTTGCCTAACGATGCTAATCAGTCATCTCCCAATCAGACAACTACAGCTTCTCAACAAGGAATAGGACAGCAGCAGCAGCAAAGAACTCTGTTCGATCCGAATAACCCGCATAAACCTATTGTTATTACTTCACCTGGAAGTAGAGCAGCTGTACAAAGGTAAAACTGGTTTTGCTCTATATTTTTATTATAACCACTAGCTGTAGAAATGAATAAACGGTGATGTATTTTCTCTTTAAGGGACAATGACATGCAAATTTCGAGTGTTCCAGTATTCCAGTCTAATATAGGTGTCACACCATCACATTATTCTTTTCAAAGTACCCAGTTGGATGGTATGCCATCACCATACATGAATGATCAAATCGGAAATATGAGACCTTCGTGGTACGAACCGTTTTCAGCCAGGTACATAAATTATAATATGCATATATAAATATATGATTTTTAGGTTATTATACATGTGCTCTCTTACATTAATATGTTAATGTTTTTCTGTCATCAGTTTTCATTCAGCGAAAAATCACTGCCTTCTTTTGGATATAGAACGTGCTGATCTGGAATTACAATGGATAATAAGTTCCGGTGGCTTTATGTCGCGTTTGGATAGAGTTGCGTACATACGACACTTCCTTCAACAGAGCTTGAAGATCTTGCTCGAGACTGATATCAAATTCTGTCAGGCGGAAAATGTCGAGCAACACTTTTGGAAAATATTGTTTTATAATCTGATCGAGATGCTTCGAAAAACAATGCCCAAGGAAAACGCGGAAGGACGAGAACGTTACAAGCAGATAATGTTGAATATCATTGATGAAGGTACCATCTATCTGGAAAGTTTACTGACTGCTCTCGAGACTACATACGAGTTCAAGTTGGACACGTTTCTTGCATCGTCGAGTCTACCCAAGGGTCTTGGTCTTTTAGGACTGGCCTTAGTCAGCGCCCAAAAGATATTTCTATTCTTGGGAGATTTGGCGAGATACAAGGAACAAGCAAACGAAACAAGCAATTATGGAAAATCTAGACAGTAAGTATTTACAATAATCTCGCGATAATAATATAAAAGCTTGAAATATTTTTAAATTTGAATAAAAAATTTTTTCTGTTCAGATGGTATCTAAAAGCGCAGCAAATCAATCCTAAAAATGGTAGACCTTACAATCAGCTTGCCTTATTGGCGCATTATGCAGTACGTATTAATATTTGTCACGATGAATATAATTCAATATATATTTCTCAATGCTTTATGGCATTTTCAGAGACGAAAATTGGATGCTGTGTATTACTACATGCGATCTCTTATGGCATCCAATCCTTTCCATTCTGCCAGGGAGAGCTTGATCGCGCTCTTTGATGAAAACAGAAAAAAGGTAAGAAAATTTATGAAACATATCGTTAAAACGTTTGTATTTATACTAACGTTAATATTTTGATTTTCTTATGCCGCCAGTATCTACATTATGTAAGTAAATTTTGATACACTTCGTGTGAATCCTTTAGATATTCATTTGTCATATATTTATTTGGTCAAGGCTTTATTATCTGTTTGTTATTTTATTGCTAGCCGTTTTTAGATTTTCTATTTTGTGTGCTTGGAGCCTTGATATTTCAATTCATTTGTGCACTCTTAAAAACTTTACTTCTATTAACACATTTTTTTTTGGCAAATGTGGCAAATTAATGCCTTTCATACACAACTATTAATTATTTACAATAGCAATCTCATTCATGCAAATATCTGGTACTATAGCTAAATACACATTTACATAGTTGTAGTAATCGTTCACACGAATTTTAGCTTTAATAAAAGGTTAAAAACACTATACAGAAAAATATATACAAAACAGGTTAACAAAAAAAGGTACTATTCGTACTTCCGAAAAAACCCATACAAGAGCACAATATCTGCTAACGATATGCCTGCAGCATTTTTGAGACTGCCTGTTTGTAAGACATGTTTTTAAGTTTCCAGAAATGCTTTGCGCTGTAAATTTAAATCAGAGATTTTTCCTATCTTTGCAATAGCTCTGCACATTTCGTTAGCATGCACTTCTCATAGATGCGGAAACTTGTACAAATGAGGAGTACAAATACTGTCCAAATGGCGCTGTTTGTATGACTAGCTATCTATACAAAGGCAATCCCGTTATCATCTTCCTATTTCAATGATAATATTTTTCAAGAATTTTAATAGACATTGATAGACAATTTACTTCTTTTCTTTCTCGCAATTTTGTAATTTACTACATTAAATATTTCAGTTTAATTAAGAATAAATTAAAATTGTCAAATTATTTACAGGAATGTGGAAATTTGGTCGTGGGAACCTTTGATAGCATTATGCAGTGCTCGTATATTTTACACTTGTACATACACGATGGAGACGTGCATAAATATAACGGCAAATGTAATATATGTTAATAGTTGTAAAGGCCGAATTATATCATGCACTATATCCCTTTTTAAATGCATCACACGGTAAAAGTATTCTCTTAGTAAATTAAATATTCCTAGTACGAGTCTATCGAACGTAAGCGGAAGGAGGAAAGGGAGTCGAAGGAGCGGGCAAGGATGAAGGAAAAGGAAGGCGCGAACATTATTGGCGGTGGATTGAGGAGAGAGACGTGGATTCATCCGGGTGACGGTAGACGAGTGCGACGTACAACCAGCGCGGCCACTGCCAATGAGACGAGATTGTCCCATACAAGCGATTTGGAGGAATTATCGCAATTAACAAGTGTCGAGGTTTGTGTTGTCAATTTCTTGTCTAACACAGTTCTAATCTAACAGTTTTCAAAAGCAACTGTATCTTCTACAGAGTACATCTTCTATAGTTGAGTAATAAATACTACAGTCAATATCTGCAAAATTCTTGTAAAAACCTTGAAATGCGCGTTGTATATGAATTTTTACATTTTTTTATAGGACTGATAACTATGTAATGAACAATATATATTGGATACACATATTATTATTATTAATATGTTTCATAAAATTATTGTTGATATATTAATATGCTTTTGATAAAATTATCACTGAAACGTATTATATGTATACATGAAAATAATATTTTATTCTATTTCATACTTCGATACTCATGTGATTTAATCTTCTTTTTTTTAGGTGAACAAACGATTCGTCACTTCATACCTTCACGTTCACGGGAAGCTCATCACTAAGATAGGGTAAGTGTTTACCATCATTGTAATCCTCTCTCTATCTTTATGTTATATCTCTTTCTGTAAAATGTAAAAAAGCGTAAATCGGTGATTAGCGATTATATGTCTTTTTAATCATTTAAAAATTTGCTTAAGGATAATAAAGGAGTAGTTTGATATTATGATTAACTGGTTGTATCCAGTTGTCCGATATTCGCATTTCATATAAATACTGTTTATTCTCAGACGTCAGAAGACAAATACTATACAAAGAATTGCTTTTCGCGTTTGCTACCCGTTTTATCGAGTAGATCAAATCACCATTTTGTATCTCACTCGCATTTACTAAATATGGATAGAATCAGTACTTTTCGATTCCATAATTCTGCATCGTTGAAATAATAATTTTTAATTTTTTTTCTTCTTTCTCTTAATAAATTTTCATGTTCTCTAAAGCTCATTGATGTATCAGTAGTATTTTATTACTGTTATATGTACATTTCTTTTTTTTTATTTGTTAAAGCTACACATTAAATTTGTACAAAATAGCTAAACAAACAATTTTTATTTAGTATAAAATTGTAGCTGTTATTAAATTAAATTAATTTATTTTATATAAAAAACGCACGAGTATCTTTAATATACAACATGGTGATTTGCTAAGGAATATACATTGTAGTAGATATTTATTTTCCTTATCTTGGCTTCGCTTATAGCTTCTGGAAATTGGCGAAGATCATCTTCATTATCTTAATGAAATCCTAATTAACAGAAGTAATTACTTTAAATAAGCAAAGTGTACAAGTGGTATCTAATCTTAGCGCAAATTGCAAGATGCTTTTATGGAAAGTTGAAAATTTGTCGTTAGTATTCTGTTTATTAGCAGAATATATCTTTATTGCAAAGGTGGTAAATAAATATAAATATTATCCTTACAAAAAAAATAATCGGAATAATCAGCAACTATGTGATATTACGACCGAGCAAAAACTATTATCGCTTAAAAATTCGATGCTGCATCCCGGCAAGTTTATAAAATCCAAATATATCGCAAACGGGATATTATTCGCTCCGTTAAAGCGTCATGGCATTTAATCTAGACTGATTAATCCAGAAATATTGCGCCTGAGAATCTCTCGCAACCGTGCTTGGTTGGCTCGATTAGCAAAAAAAAATTCATTGCAATGAGATGTATGTGTTATGTGTATATTACACAACAAAAGCAAAGGCATATCGATTCTCACGAGTGAAAAACTACAATTTTTTTTTTAAGTATGGAAAGGTGCAATTATTTAAATATTTTATTTTTATATATAATTTTATTTCTCTCTCTATGTATATTTCTTGAAAGTATATATTTATCGGTATATATTTGATGACGTTACGCTGGCAGGAAAGGTGCAATTATTTAAATATTTTATTTTTATATATAATTCTCTTTCTCTCTCTATGTATATTTCTTGAAAGTATATATTTATCGGTATATATTTGATGACGTTACGCTGGCAGGAAAGGTGCAATTATTTAAATATTTTATTTTTATATATAATTCTCTTTCTCTCTCTATGTATATTTCTTGAAAGTATATATTTATCGGTATATATTTGATGGCGTTATGCTGGCAGGAAAGGTGCAATTATTTAAATATTTTATTTTTACATATAATTCTCTTTCTCTCTCTACGTATATTTCTTGAAAGTATATATTTATCGGTATATATTTATAGTATATATTTATCGGTATTTGATGATGTTATGCTGGCAGCATTGTCAGTGGAATACGAACGTAGCCCAGGTATAAATGTGCCTAACTTCATCCCCGACGCCGAGCGGACGCGGACGCGAGTTCGTGGTATGTAGCTTCGTGTTTTCTTACGCGCGGCGGTAAAAATGTTAATTGACAATTGCATGGCGCCACCCGACCACCACCGTCTCGACCGCAACCCGACGACGATGGAAGTGGCGGCGGGGATGTTGTCCGTGCGCGTTGTGACCTTGCGAGATATGTACTTCGCGATTACCGTACGCGCGCGCGCGCGCGCGCAACTTCTCGGCGATAATTCATCGGCGACAAATTCGAATCGCGAAAGGAAAAGAGGTTTTTATCCGTCGAATTTTTCATTTATGCAAAATTAAATTTTACTAGTTAAATAATTGTTTTCCGCGCTCGTCACGTAACACGAAAGAAGCGGAGGGTTGACGAAGAACTTCGACGGAGGAGGTAAGAAAGACACACTTGTTCGTTATTATCGTTCTTTTTTCTCGCGCGAATACTCAATCGTCATCGACGCGATCATGTTTAAGGGCCCAATCTACTCTAACAGTATAAAAAATCGATGATTTTTAAAAACTCTTATTGAAGAATATTAGAAATAGATCTTTCTTGCGTTTTATCTATGTTTTTATTAATGTTTGAACGGTACGTCAGTATTTTTAAATCTTGCTTATTTAGCGTTTTTTTTCTTCAGAATTTCCTCTTCGTGTAACGTATTTCAAAATGCATGATTCAACGGTCATGTTGCTCCTCGTGTAATTGTCGGAAATGAAAAAAAATTCAATCTAGTTTTATTCTATAAGATATTTGTGGGATACTGAACCTCTTCATTAGAGAAAATTGGCAAATAACAAAGCTTGAAGATTCGAAAAATATTAAATATTAATATTTTAAATTCTAATTAGATTTAGTATCCCCTCAAAAATATTTTCTTTTATTTAAAAAAACTGAAATTATTTGATTTATTAGTTTGCAAGATATATCCGTCACATTAATTTTTAAAAGTGTTTTAAGAAAAACACGTTAAAGTTTTACAGGCCCACTTGAAGATTCGCGCACTATCTTATTCAAAGTCCTATAACTCTGTCAATTTTTTGAATTTTTCAAGAAAATTTGAAAGACATATTCTTCAGACGTTATACTTTTAGAAAATGTAAAAAAAAATCGATCTTTTACCCTCTAAAGTAAACTGAGCCCTTAAAATATGGGCGCATCTTCGATATATATTATACATTACTAGAGTTACATAGAATGTACTCGCGGTCTATAATTGGAATCGGTGCCGAACCAGTGCCATTGGTTAGAGGTGCTTGTTAACGACAAGGTACGTGCGTGGCATAGGCACACGTATAGATTGCGGATAGGTGGTTACGGGGAGGGTTGAGCGGGGAAAGGAGATGGGAGACCATGCACAGTCGGACGCGTGGTATGGTTGGCTTACGGTGTTGCTGACTCGTTGCGTCGCGGCTGCTGTTGCTGTAATGGATTTGGCTCATTACTGGTTGCAGGAGCACTGGAGTTCGTCCTCCGACCCTACCGAGTTATGCTCAAGGCTGCCCTCATACCATACGGCCCATCGCGGACCATTTCCTTTCCGTCGTAATATTGCGCTTCTCACTTTCCATTATCCCTTTTTGAGCGCTTTTTAGCATCTATAACTTTCTTCGAGAGCTTTTTGATTTGGTTGAGCTATATACATCTTGAAATAATTTACATATTAATAAGATATTAAAGTATTTTTATTTATTTTATATATAATAATAATAGAGATGTACTGTGTGTGTCCTTTTTACATACATAAATATTTAAATAATTAAAATGTATTTTAAATATTTACATATATATTTTAAAAAGAATTAAAAAATTATACTCCACTTAGATTAAAATATGTTTTATAACAAAAGATACAATACACACATATAGTATCATTTTTATAATTTTTTAAAATTTCCGCCATCTGCAAATTTATTGAAAAAAGTTTAAAAGAGAACTTGATAGAAAAACAATTTTTTATATCAATCTAATCAATCTAATATATGACTAATATAAACTATCAGTAACTTTTGACAAACTTCGACTTTATAAGTTGATATCGTAAATTAACTTGGATTATTGTAATTATGTATAGACATACACAAGTATTTACTATTAATACACTGTGTAATACACGCGAGACTAAATTAATATGTATAATACTTCAAAGTATTTCTATATTTGTACTTATGCCATTTTAGTAACTTCTCAAACTAGGAAGATTAAAAAAAATTGCGTGAAACTATTAAGTAAACTATTGAGAATAAGAACTTAGTGAATATTATTTATATTAGGCATATTATATAAATAATATATATTATAATTAAGTAAACTTTCTCTCTCTTTCAATTTTATACATTAAAATTCTGTTTATTTCTTGCTTTTATTATTATAATATATACTTGCATATTATAAATAAAAAAAATACATTGGTTATGGCAAAGGATTGAATTTTCTGAAGAATGCTCTACCAAGAATGTACGCGCTTGTCGGTGGTGGTCAATAATTTCGAGCGATCTCTGCAAGGTGGACAAATCGTTTTTCGTCGATAAATATAGTAGCCTGACAGATTAAATCGCTTTTAACGCATCGCTGTATGAGATGGCGCTTGAAATTTTTTCGTCGGACGAGGATCAGGAGATGGCGAGGGTCGCGTCGCGCCAAGAGGCGGTAATTAAACCTATAAATTGACAGTGTGAAGGAAGAAGGCAGGAATCGTTTCATAACACTCGTAAGGCGAGAGAGAAGTGGTCGCCGGCCGGCGCTTCCACCGGTGATGGTTAGATGGGCAAGGTAGGTTCTCTCGTGGACCGTAGTGTGATGCTTCTCGAGAAGGAAGGGAGACGGCAGGATAGCGAGGATGGAGAGTAAGAGAGAGAGAGAGAGAGAGATAAAGAAAGAGAAGCGAGAGACGCATACACAGCCAGAAACTTAAGTAGTGCGAGTAAGTAAAGCTACGCTATAAGGCTCTCCCGCCTGGCTGGTAACACACATGGGTTTCCGATGGTCGTTTACCCGCGGCCCTTGCGAGTGACGACCCCGCCCGCTTCAAGGGCACCCTCCTCGTCGGACACCGCAGCCTCCGCGGACCAGAACCCGACTACCCGGCACCCGGCCCGGCCATCTCCTCCGCGGCCGTACGCTACACAACGCGAACCGATCGCGACCATCTGGATTCCTCCCGATCGTTCCGGACGATCAGATTTCCGGCCTGCCGACCGGATTCGACGAATTACGCGATAATAAAACCTCGTCGCTTTTACGTTGATCGATTGATCGAGAGATTGATCGTCGTTCTTTCACAGATCATCTTCTCGCGTAATAAATTTAAATTAATAAATAAGTACGAATATAGAAAAATTCTTTTAAAGAATTACACACATATATTAATTTAATGTCGCGCAAATTATGCCGTGTATTAATAATAATATATTTGTGTGTGTATGTGTCTACTTGTAATTACAATAGTCCAAATTAATTTACGAAATCGATTTATAAAGTCAAAGTTCGCTAGAAGTTTCTGATAATTTCTAATAATATACTAGTAATACATTAGATTGATATAAAAAATTGTTTTTCTATCAAGTTCTTTCAAGTTTTTTAAATAAATTTGCAAATCAGAAATTTATATCTTTTATTATTAAAGATATTTCAATCTAGATAAAGAGTATAATTTTCTATCTGATGAGAGATTGTTTTATAACTTTATAACTTCGAAATATTTAAAAAAAAAAAAAATTGATCCAAACATTTCTATATTAAATTTATATTACATAATGAAATTTAGATGAATAGAATTTATAATTTATCTATACGCTTTTTAAATGAAAGCTTATCTCTTACGCCACGTCCAACTGTTGTATTTTTTTTTTTTTTTCATTTATAATGCACAGATATATACAGAGGATGCATAAAGGAATAATTGCCTTGCAAATTTGCAACTGTTGTATGAAACAAATTTCGATATCAACTGTCCTTGATACATCTCGTTTCTCCCATTTCGTTTGGCTAATGCATTTACGTATTTTTGCCAACTTTTATTTACTTGTCTTAAATTCCGCGTAAATTTACGCAAGAATCCGTGGTAATCGATGATTAAACGATGTTTGGAGCGTTAAGGCGTCAGGAAACACAGCATTTTAGTGTCGCTCGCGATGCATTCGGTTTGCGATGAGATAGCGGGTATAGTAGTCGACCTATCGGGCACTGTCATCGACGCTGCCGGGCTAATGGCTCATTATGCCGCCGTTTATATGTTTGCATTGCTGGCAAGGACGATGAGATTATACGATACGCGCGGATACGTTCGTCGGACAGAATTTCTTCGTGGCGACTTAACTTGAATCAAGCGAGTCTGCTAGTCTCTGAAGGTGTGAAATAGCAGCATAGATACACATATTTGACGCAAAAGAGACTATGCCAATATTTGAAAATTCCGGAAAGAATTAATTGTCTAGAATAAAGGTTCTTTAACAAAAAAATTTTTGTGAGATGCGAAGTGTATGTTAGAACGGAAAAGGACAAGGGCATTTATTCAATATAGACAAAAAATATCTGAAACAATTCAAGATATAGAAAAAGAATTTTAAATTTTAAAATAAAAAATACCGGGGAAAAAAATCAGTTTTAGATCGGAAACTTTCTGCTTGGTGATTTTATAAAAAATATACGTACTCGAGTTTGATTGGTTTCTTCTGTATTTTCCGATCATAAATGAAGGGCGTAAATATGTATATGTATAATATAGTGTTGGGAAAGTGAACGTGATGAATCTTATCCTGCATATTACCAAGTATATAAAAGGAGAGATGTGAAAAATGACCTTGACACTTACATCGTGTCGCATGATTGCAGCCTGCAATTTATGTCATCGTGTATTTCTTTTCGACGGTGCTTAATCAGAGCTGGTCTACGCGTTGCCCCGTGTCATTTCACGCGCCGTATTATTACTATAATTTATTTTCGAAGTAAAATGCACCGATTACATCGGTTTGAGGAGCGATTTTTTGCGGTTCGAGCGACTTTAGACGATATTATTGCTCGCCAACAAATAATGATAATTACGCTAATGACATCGATTACGACAGCGAGACGTATCGGCCTTAATCATTTTCGATGCGCGATGTCTCACGTTTATACATCCTTCTCGGCGATTGAGTCATTTAGATTCTGCAATCTAGATAAAATCCAAGATCGAGAGAGACGAGAGAGGATTACATTTCTATTACGGGCGATCTGGAGATCTGGATATACGATGCGCGATCGTGTCCCGACCAATGTCGCGCCGGGCCGATTAATTATTTATAATCGCGCGACCGACGATGAAAAAGCGAAGGAATTTCGTTAGCCCGAAGGTATCTATTTATCCGTGCTGCGTATTTTGCGGAACGATTTATTATCTATCCGACGGGTATTTATAGCTGCGGCTAAATTAATCTTCGCGGGCTTATGATACAATCTGTGCCGTGTTCGCGAATATCTCGTGCGCGTAGAATTACGCACCATTTCGATCGGATTTTTGCATGTTTTTGTAAAATGAAAACTAAAATTACATATCGCGTGCCACGAACGTCTATCAAATTTTTCAGGGTGAAAACGACACATATTTATGTTATTTTAATTAAAATTTATATTAAATTTACATAATCAAAAATATCTTTTTCAAAGAAGATATTTTTTATTATGATGTGATTTTAATATAAATTTTGTAATTTTAATACAAATTTATTAAAATTTATTAATTTAAAATAATGTAGATACATAAATGTCATTTTTACTCATTTATATACAATATATTTTTAATTAATTAATATATTATCTATATATATATAATGGAGAAGGGAGTAATTTTCTATTAAATCAGATTGCTATGTGTAATTCGTCATTTTAATTTGAAACAACTTTCCCGAAGGGATTAATTTTGCGCGTCGTGATTATCTCCCGATCGCGAGAGAAAAACGATTAATGTATAACACAATCGTTCGCATAATAATCATTAGAATATCGTTGATCGCGCGGCATTTTTTTTATTGCAATTTATTATATTACACATTTTATTATATTCCAAATATAATATCAAAATATATATAATATTAGATATGATTGTATATATTAAAAAATAAATCGAAACGTCTTTATCTCGAATCGATTTGTTTTGTACGCGTATGTCTTATCAATAATCGAAAATGATATCGACTACATCCGCACGATATGTGAGTTGTAATAGTTATTAAGACGCGATCCGAGAATACACGATCGAAATTTAATAAGTATTGCGTACATCGCGCTGCCAAAGGACGGCATTTATATTTAAGCAAAATTACATCTCGCGTTTTATTCTCTCGCTCGTGCGGACTGCAGCATCATCGGCATCAGCGCAAATAAATATTCACGGTGCGATTATACTATGCGATGTGGGATGGTGGCATACCAGCTTGATTTCAGTCGACGGCTAACGGTCTTTTTCGAGGATCGAACGAGCGTGTGAGTGCGCCTTGATACGCGCCGAAGGTGTCCGATTTCAGCAGCCGCTCTTTTATTGCTCGCGGCGTAGACGCGATGGGAATGGTGCCTCTCTTCGGCAAAATGTTCTCTCCTCGCAAGAAGGCCCAGGTTCGCGATCGAAGATCGTCGGCGACTCGCGCGTTCGATATTTCGCCTCTTCAGATATGATTCCTCGGGTGATTCATTACGTGGGGAGAAGGGGTTAAGCGATTACTTAGCTATTCTTTGGTGTTTAATCGAGAGTAATACGTAACGGTACGTCGGCTTAGAGGTCAGAATGACTTGGCGCTCTCTTTCTCTTCTCTCTCTCTCTCTCTCTCTCTCTCTCTTTTTCTTATTCTCTGGCAAAGTAGCACATTCTCAGCTACCATCGAGATTCATTGAGTTAGTTAAAAGGTACATCAACTGTATCGGCATCAGTATCCTAAAATGTAATAACTTACGAAATTGTAATCGTGTATTCCGAAAATTTCAAAAAATTATATACAGGATGCTCCGAAATTAAATGTCAAAACTTTGGGAGCGTGTAACGGGGAATCGGTAAACTAAAACAAAAAGTTCTTTAGAGATTTGCTCGTTTTTGCTTCGTTTTGAAGAAAATCGCAAAAAAATGAAACAAAAAATTTTCACTAAAAAATTTAAAACAACGCTAAAATTATTAGATTTATCGAAAAGTATCATGCAATAAAAGTTGTAAAGCATGAAATTAAGAAAAGAGAGTGTATTAAAATACTCCTGAGATAAAATTTTAATTGTTGTACAGGATGTAAGTAAAGTTGAGGCATGATGTAGATTGTGTATTATTGGTGAAACGTGTATGTTTTGAAATTTATAAATACTTGGATTAAAACAATCAATGTTAATCTAATTATAATCCTGAAATTTAAGAAAAATATCAAGAGAGATTTCATGTATACTATTTTATTATGCTAATAAGATATCAAAACAATGCATGAACTGCTTTGATGGCATTATCACTCGAAAGAACGTAACACCGTAAAATAAGACATCGATGTTTTTAGAACCTTTAAAAAATAAAAAAATTATATATACATGTATATTATTTTTCATTATTATATATAATTTTTAAACAACTATTTTAAAATAATAATATAATTTTTAAATAACTATTCGATATATCATACAAATAATGAAAATAAATAAAGTATTCCGTGCAACTTTTTTAACATTATAAGCTATGTGTGGGACTAGAGAATTAATTATGTAATGTTATTTACCGTTCATGGACCATGATCTATGGTACACGATGGAATGCCCCGTTATGCGTTAAAGTGCAAACTTGTTAGTCATAGAGCCAGCCCGCGTCCATGTCGATGGGACAACCCCGGGCTGTCGAGGGGACTTCTTAAATGTCGGTGCTGTACAACGGTTCACGTAAGAACTATACAAAGCTTGCATAGGATAGGGGTTTTCTATTGTCGATTTAAGTGGATCTAGTTCAGCAATTTGTTATCTCTCTCTTTTTATGTAACTATATAATCTTATTTATGATGTGTAGATGCAGAAAACAAATTTGCTTAACTAAACTTAGCCCTGAGCGACGTTATTGCAACCGGTCCTTGAGTAAAGTTAACTGAAAGATCCTTATCTTTCTAGATCGCGGCTGTGGTTGTTCCCATTCGAGAAAATATTGAGATATATACAGAAATATAACATATATTTTAGTCTTCTATTTATAGTATTTACTAAATTATTTATATATTAATTCGTTATTAATTGCGTGACATTAATTGATTGCGTTTTAATTTTTATATCCTACATAGATTAACTATTTTTTTTTTCTAAATTATTTTTTAACATCTCGTAGATGATTATCTCTCTCTCTCTCTCTCTCTCTTTAATTATAATAATTATATAAATTATAATAATTCCATGCAAAATTACATATATGTATATATATGGAATTATTATAATTTTATCTAGGACAATCCGCTTTTTTTCTGAAACATAGCAAAATTAAAGCAAAATTAGAAATGAAAACTATTTTGTCAGTCTTATTACAACGTTTCTAGAGTCGTAAAGTGATTTTAATTTCGTGTCACATCGGCGCCGTAATCTCTCATTGAACGTAAAAGCGGCTCGAGCGCTTATCTTGCACGTGATAGCAGCGTCGCATCGTAATAAAAGTGCAACGGGCAGTTTAATAAGCCCATGTGAGGTGTATAATAATAGTGTTTTTAGCATCTATCAAAAGACCGTGAAGTTAATCGGCCGTCGTCGCTACTTCGGAATTTTCACGAGCCTCATCTTGGGTCCGTCGTAGGATTATTATCGGTTATCTATGATCGATCGGTTGCACATATGACTTTTAGTTGCCACGCATTATCTCGAACGAGGTCGTTCGATCCGCCGTGAAAGACCTGTAAAGCGCGAACAAGATAAAGAAATCGATGATCGTGGAGTCACGAGCAGGCCCGATATCGCCATGTATCTCGCTAAATGGTATTAATAGGTAGACAGATTTACGATTATGCTCGAGTAATATGAAAATTGCCAATTACCCGCGTCCATTCACCTCCGTGTCAGTATCGTCGATGTGCCGTCTTCTTTGCTAAAAATAGATTTATATTAGAATAATAGCTTATTGATAGCTTTTCCATTAGATTTTTGAAACAGAAAACATCTTGTTATGTATATCAGTATATACGTATAATAATAGGAAATATAATAAAATATATATAATAATAGAATATAGAATCGATAAAGAACTTATTATTGCTGTATATTATCAAAATTATTTTTAACATGATATAAGCAACATTGAAATATTTTTATATAAAAATATTACTTGTAATATATCTATATTTTAATATAGATATGTTAAGTATCTCAAAATAAAATCCAAATTATTTCATGCATTGTATTTCACAATGACAAATTTAATCGGAGATACCGAGTTACTCCAAGTTTAACAATTTTATAAACAAATAATAACTTAAATGAATTTTACTCACCTCATGGTTGCTCAGCTGTCGCTTGACACTTGTCCGTCCAAGCCTTCTTTCTTGTTCGTCCATAGCTGCTCCTTCATGGCACTTGCACAACACTCATTAGGAAAAACGATTAATGTATAACACAATCGTTCGCACTTTAGAGATTTGCTCGTTTTTGCTTCGTTTTGAAGAAAATCGCAAAAAAATGAAACAAAAAATTTTCACTAAAAAATTTAAAACAACGCTAAAATTATTAGATTTATCGAAAAGTATCATGCAATAAAAGTTGTAAAGCATGAAATTAAGAAAAGAGAGTGTATTAAAATACTCCTGAGATAAAATTTTAATTGTTGTACAGGATGTAAGTAAAGTTGAGGCATGATGTAGATTGTGTATTATTGGTGAAACGTGTATGTTTTGAAATTTATAAATACTTGGATTAAAACAATCAATGTTAATCTAATTATAATCCTGAAATTTAAGAAAAATATCAAGAGAGATTTCATGTATACTATTTTATTATGCTAATAAGATATCAAAACAATGCATGAACTGCTTTGATGGCATTATCACTCTATAGTCCAACAAAAATTGAGCTTGCCAAAATTGCAAGAAAAGATGAGTGAGTTGTGCAATGTAGACTGCCAGAGGTGCTGCAATATCTCTCACATTGCTTAAATTCATCACTACCTAGAATAAAAATTTTAATTGCTTTCGAGATATTTTTTCGGATTGTTTCTAATTTTTTCGAATTAATTCTTACAAATATATATTCCGAAAATTACATATTCGATAATGAAGATGTAAATATTATCTTTGTCAAATATTGGTTGTAATTGAGAACACTAAATTCTTTTTGCTTACAGGATATATATTTATAGCAAAGTATAGTCACAAAAAGAAATTGGTACATACTCGTATACCGCATATACTGCCACCAATCATATTTAAACTAATACTGATCAAGAAAATATTCGTAAATGTAGATTCGATCAATTCCGCGAATCTGCAAAATCGCGAGGCTGAATGCGGTTGCGAGCAATATAAAAATATCGATATATAAAGCTATTATTTGTAGTACAGATCTTTTTTAAAATATATAGGAAATCTAGAGAATAGATATTTTTTTCGTTAACACGCACTCTATCACATGAAGATGCCTACGCAAACAGTCCAATGCTTTATGGTAATTGACGTCTTTTATCTTGTCCAGCTTCATGTGAAAATTAGCGTCACAATCTTTACCAATATCCTTTAACATATGTCTGGAAGCGAAAAATATTAGTGCAAGAATCATACTCTTATATTTCAGTTTTTAATCGCCATTTCTGTGAATCCTCCTTGTGATTCTAATATTCTTACCCAACAATTGAAAACATTCCGCAGGCATGCTGCACTATAGTATAATAAAAGGTGTCAACCGCGATTGTACTAAATACGTGAGCGAACACGCCTAAATAACAGTGAATCGTTATTGGATAGAAATACTGGTTTAATTTCTTGCCATACTCGACTTTAAATGGCAATTTCGATGCACCTGATATGGACGACTTTGTTACGTTCACGGTATTGTCTTCTAATAATGTCATAATGACTGGTTTGATCAAATAAAAGAATGCTGTCATATTCATGAAAACTAAAAAAATATATATATGTATTATACGAGCAGATTTTCTTTGATCTTTATTATTTTTTATGGTTCTTTAAAGGAATGAAGGATGAAACTGTTTCTTAAAAAAATTAAGCAAAAATAGTCTTGTTTTTATCATCTGTGCAAATTTTAAGGCTTAAAATAAATGAAGGAAAAATTCGAAAAATTATAGAAGATATAGTACAAAATACATGTTTTCGTATACTCACTCTTACATACATTCAAAAAATGCACTGTTTGCTATAACGTACCTGCGTAAAATGTTGTCAGATGCCGTCCATATTCGCTGTGACGTGCCAAAATAGCCTTTTTCACATCTGTATTTAATGATAGCCAGTCCTCTTCTATCATCTTAATGCAAGACCTTATCTGTGTAAATATACGCGAACATCGCAATAATAATTTTTACACAAAAGATTACGTCCATATTCTATAATGTTGCTTACATGTTTGCTGTTCAACATCATGTTCGCTATTTTATAGCTGAATATTATGCTAATCAATGCGGATGGCAAACCGTCGAAAACATCATCGAGATCCATTGCGGTTAATACGAACAATAACTGTATCGGATTTATAGTATTGTGGAACATATATCAAGATTTTTATTGATGAAAGAAAGAAAATTGTGCAATGAATTGGTACAATAAATAATCCGTAGTGAATTGTTCTCTCGTAAGAGCGTAATTTTCAAACATATATATATATATATACCTGAGGTATCAGAATACTAAAGCAGAAAGTAAACATCGGCACGAAACGTATACATCTGTTGCGAAGTCTATGATACGGCCATATTCCCACTATAATCATGTATACTTTAGGAATTGTATAGTACCGACTATTCCAAATGTCTTTCTTGTCCAACATTTTGCGTAATATTACGGATTATCAGCGATTCCTTGTTGAACGTTTGTCGCTCGGTGAATTATAAGAGCTTGATTATCGATTCCTTTTAACGCGGCAAAGACTACGCAATAATTCAACTAGATAATACGTGTGCAATTACTTGTGCCTGAACCCTTTCTCTTTCGCATTTTCATGTAAAGTCAGTCCTTTCATCATTTCTCCTTTATCGTAATAATAGGGTACATTTTCCGTATTATTCTTCGAACGCGAAATTAACGAACGCTTTTGTTCATCTCATCTTGCAGGAAACACAGATAGTTTTTCTTGAATAATTCGGTAGAATAGAAGAAGCAGTGAACGCGAACGTAAAAACACGAGATTAATATAGAATATAGAACAATATATCATAATCTCAATACACTTAACGATTTAAGGGGAGGGAGAGAGATATCGGATTTGACTACAGTTAACGTATGATGTGGATAGCGCGAACTGCGAATTTTAAAAATATAAATTTTATTTTTGAAAGTAAAAAGTACAACGGAAATTTTCTGTTATACTGGAAACGTTCTACTTCTATAGTGATGACATCATCGTTGGAAGAAATGGCATCAGTATGAAAACTAGAAATTAATACAATATATAACGAATAATTTCTCTCTAGTAGATCATCAAATTTATTATAAACACTTAAATAGCTCGATTAAAATTATTTCTCTTTTTTAGAATGGTCGTATTAGTCGAAAATAATAGAAATATATTCTGAGAAATTTTTACATATGTATGGGAATAGTTTTAGACAAAGATTATATCACAAAAATATTCTGTATTCACGCGACAATGCAAATAAAATCGTGATATTATTCAGTTACATATTACGCGGATTTACAATTGTGCATATATGGGTATATCTTATTACAAATAAATAAATAAATAAATATATATATATATATATATATATATATATATATATATATATACACAATATATATATGTATGTATGTTTGCATGTATATATGATGTATGTATACATGGTGCGCTATACGCGAAAAGAGGCTGTGGGAAAGATAGCGCCTGCTATGCGAGATCTCCCGTTGCCGTTTCGCTGTCGTGTTTACGAGAATGCCCCCTCGGCGGCTCCAGACCCCCCTGGCCAACCTTCGTCCTCCTTTATCATCGGCCTCGACCATGCGAGATTAGCCGTCGAGTCGACGAACATGGGTCGCAGACTCATTGATTCTGATCCAAGTTTGATTATTTTTAGCTCGATCGGTCGAAGAGATCTTTATGTGGATGTCCCTATTTTTCATATCTTTAATTATTTTCGCACATGTGCATTCATACAGTATTTTCAAAATGAGGAAAGTGGATTTATTTTGTTAAAAATCGTCCATATTCAAAAATTATTCAATTATATCTCTCTCGTGACAAGTCGACTAAAAAATGATTGAAGTAATTTGCATAAATTTCAGTCATAAGTAAGCAAATTATGTAAAATTTTGAGAGATATTGTTAAGTGTAATATCAAATTTGAATGACAATGAATTAATTTTTTATTGTTTGAAAGGAGAAAATTTAATTGTTCATTATTTGTAATTATTTTTAAATTCTTTTGCCGATATTAAATCTCTTATTATTTTTAAATTCTTTTGTCGAAACTCATTATTTGAAGCACACATCGTTGTTCTTATCGGGACCAGCATACTGAGATATACTAGTTATCAAGAAATTATACATCTAACTCAATCCTCATTTATAATATTTTGCTGTTTTACCAGCTGTTTAATTTTCCGTCAATTAGGACCTTCAAGACTAACAATTTCGATGTAAAAATTGAATAAAGCAGACTGAATCTAGTTCAGATTATTTTTTAACATTATATAAGAAAATTGTATTTTTTTTTCAGAATGGAGACTTTTCAAGAAGCCGGTGTTCAAATGCTGAAGGAATTTAGAGCCCTATTACAGCACTCGCCGCTACCGCTTTCTGGTACTCGTCTACTTCAACTTTTGGCGCTTAACATGTTCGCTATCGAGACCACGCAGCTAAAGGGTGAGTCGAGATTTACCAAACTTTTTCTTTTAACGAAATAATCTCGTTTATGTTTATAAGATATTATATGAATCGTACAAATATGTGAGATACTTTGTCTATCATCGAGAGAACGTATTAAGATGATAGATTATAATAGATTTCAGAAACTAAAAGAATTCTACGAAACTTTCGGTTAACGAATTAAATTGTTGCCAAAATGTATCACAATTTTTAGAAAAGAAATATTTAAAACAATCTTTGCAATTTGGAACAAAAATCTTTTTCGTATATCAAAATTTACATAAAATCACACTAGTTATTTTTATAGATAATATTTTTTTTATATATGTGAAATTAGATTTGTATTCTACTTTTACTAAAATAATTTATGAGATATAATCAGTTCGTGCATATATGAAATGATATAGATTCGCGTACTTTTTTTTTTTAGATATTATCGTTATTTTGATTGCCAAATAATTTTCGCGACTTTAATTATGGAAGAACACTATTCTGAATAAAATCAACCGACTAATGAGCCGGTTGTACTCGTTTTACAGTAATGCTAATTCCTTTCGCGAACTTTTCATTTTAAAGTGGATTATACGCCAGAAAACGAGATACCGAACCGGTCACCATTTAAAATTTGCATTTTGCATGCCTAGATTATGCATGTGAATGCGTATATAAATTCTAGTGATCTTGACAAAATTGCAAGTATTTCTAGCACATCTTAAACCTAGAAAGTTTTCTTTTCACACAGAATTGATTTCCATTGATTTACTTTGGAAATTTTGCTCTTAAATTGAGCTTAATTTTTCCAAGCAAATTTCAAGATAAAATACATTTAGATTAGAATTGACATGAAATAAGATTCATTAGATAATAAACTTAATATGATTAAGATTGAGAAACTTTTTTGCTGCCTGATTTAATCTCTCATGGTCGAGATACTTCTATCGAGATGACTCGTCCTTCCGCTTTAACTCTTGACAAAATTGCAAGTATTTCTAGCACATCTTAAACCTAGAAAGTTTTCTTTTCACACAGAATTGATTTCCATTGATTTACTTTGGAAATTTTGCTCTTAAATTGAGCTTAATTTTTCCAGGCAAATTTCAAGATAAAATACATTTAGATTAGAATTGACATGAAATAAGATTCATTAGATAATAAACTTAATATGATTAAGGTTGAGAAACTTTTTTATCTCTCATGGTCGAGATACTTCTATCGAGATGACTCGTCCTTCCGCTTTAACTTGTCATTGACAAGCAACCGTGGAATGACGGTATATCCGGTTCGCGGATAGATGTATCTTGACTATCGTTTCTCGACAATGACTCATGGCTGCCTGCTGGTCCGAGAGAGCACACGAGCACCATAACAGCAACGAGCGTTCCCCGAGTTTTTGCGTCTGCATGCAGGGTGCTAGCCCTATATAATTATCACTAATTTCTATACGAGAGCGAAACTCCGTTCGCTCCAGGTTTCGCTCTTCTCGGAACGGACCCTAGCCTGAGTCATCAAGGCGCTTCTTCTCTTGCTGCTCTATTTCCCAGGTGAAACTGCCCGCTCGAATCCTTTGCACCTGCTCGGGCGTTTCTTTGCTCTTTTGCTTTAACTCAAGTTGGGCCCTTAGATGGCTGGTATATCTTGTTTCGCAGTGGTAACGCGAATTTAGTAACGTCATTCTCGGGAAATTTGTATAAACTGATCTCTTGATCGCGCTTATAAAAGAAAAAATTAATATATTCACGTTTTAATATATATGATATTTATTAATTACTCTTTTAAATTGATATCGGGCATTCATCATTATGTTTTTTTTAGTCTTTAATATTTTTCTTATATCTTATGGCACTTTATTCTTTAATATTTTTCTAATATCTTATGGCACTGACATCCGACAAATTTAATATATTTTGATAACTTGTTCATACGTTGCATAGATACAAAATAATTCAAATCATAATAGAGGAAACATTTGCGCGATTGCATCAATGATCGGAAATTTATTCAGCATTGATAATAGAGGAGTGGCAAAGGCCAGACCTTACTATGCCAAAGAAGAGTCGGTTTAAAACGAGCACGAGCGATATTACGGGATTTTAGTACCTGAATCTTTAAGCAGGCGTTACCGTCACGTGCGAGTTATACCTGGCGCGACTTCTCGTAATATTGCACGTGCGTTAATCTGCAGTGGCTTCGTCTGAGCGTATAGGTTTTCGCGGTTGAATTCTTCAGATGGCACGATAACGGTCACGCTCGCAAAGTTTTTCCGCGAACACGATAATAGACTTGCACTTAACATACACTATGCCAATTTATTTCGATTAAAGGAGAAGTATTTTTACGAAACTTTCAAATATTCCCCTCTCCTTTTTTAATATCGAAAATTTATTTTAGCATACAAAAATGAAATCTTTCATCGAAAAATTTTTCGAAAATTTTTGGTATATTTGACATCTGATCGATAAAGTCCGTTTGTTCTTCCGCGATCCTGCGTATATATCTGTCTATTAAGAATTTTTTCGAGGATATATATAATCTTGTCCTCGGTATAGTGATGATTCTCCATCAGCCAGCCAGTAATTGAAATCGTAAACACTGTCGGTAATGGACCATTGAGTTTATGCAACCGTGTCGACATTGTCTGCGGTTGACGGCCAAGGAACGTCAGGTACCGCCTTCATCATCCTTAAACCGCCGCGACACATCCCTGTGGTTTGCTCCCCCGATTCGGCTTTCTCTTTGCGTATCAACGCTATGGATCTCGAAGCTAGCACATACGATATACTATCTGTGACGTCTTATTTTAATATATGAGAAGCACAAGAAATAACTGAAGCAATAGAAAAATTGGTTATTATAAAAAAGCAAGAAAGAAATATTTGAAAAATGTTTCGTATCGATTTATCTTATAACATCCGTTGATGGGACTATTTTATTAACTCGGTCTCATTAGATTGCATTCTATGCAATATGCATAGAATTTTGAGCTCAATAGTTGGTATATTAGGTAAAAGCAAACGAAGAAAGAATAATTCGGTGTCTCAAACTATCGTACCGCGAAGAGATTGCCCCAAAGAGGTAAACGACCTTTCTGGATATATCAGGCGCAGGATCCGAGAAACCATCCTCGCCGGTGGATTACAGGATAGTCACTCTCGTAATCGTCGCTTTCGATGTTTCATTCGTCTTCCCATCGCGCTTCTCTCTCACCCCATCCTCTATGATTTACCTTTTCGCGCGAATACGTTTCATTTTACGTAATCGATGCGTGTTTTTTTCGCGTAATTATCATCGAAACGGATAAAAAGCACAAGCAATAACCGATTAATTAGAATTATGTGGAAAATTTTATTATGCAATTTGGATTTTGGAAAATCTTTCCGAATTAAAGCGAGTATTTCAGCGATGCTACAAATATTATCTAATCGGCTGCCGAGATGCGTATCGAGGAAGCCGATAGCGAGCTGCGGGATCATTTCACGTACGCGAGGAACGAATACAGAGCTCGGAAACCCCGGGGCTACTGAGGAATCGCATAACGCCAAGGCTGAGAGAGAGAGAGAGAGAGAGAGAGAGAGAGAGAGAGAGAGAGAGAGGGAGATGTCCCTAATGTCTATAATCTTGGATCATCTGCATCCGAGCTGCGATCTGGCTTGTGGCTTTGCGTACCTTAAATCCAACCACATTCTTACTACCTGCCATAAAACTCTATCAAGTACGGGTATTCGTTCCTTTTCCCGCCCGCCGCGTGCATTGGCGCGTTATTAAATTGTTTCATTGTTTTATATTTTCTTTCTCTTTTTTCCATCTCTCTCTCGATTGAGCTTGATTGCTCTCGTGCTTCCGTTTTTCGTTGTAGATTCGGTACAATGGAAATTTTGAGCATTCACAGGTGACACACTTTATCTTGAGAAAATTAAAAGAAGAGAGATATTTCTCAATTATTTTTATTAATATAGTTTCAAAGATCACTTGGTTTATATAGATCTTTTGATATTCATTATCGAAGTAAAATAATAAATGCGTGAAAGCTAAGTCTTAGGAATTAATTGGTACCAAAGAAACCAATGGCGATAAGATCTCTTAACATTGTCAGTTATCCCAGTTTGCTCTATTTCCCTTTAAGTAAAGTCTTCGAAATCTGTAAGGTTATTTGGTATACGTATCCGAGGACGAATCTCGTCGTACATTGTAAAGTACACAGAGAACGAGTGTATAGACTGCCGCTTGCAAACTCGCGATTCCCGATAAATAAAGTGTCGCGATACACGATACACACTACGGGTACACGCGTGTCCGAATCCGAAGTTATTTCGACTCGATCGGAGAGAGCCTCGCAATCGTGGGGGGAGAAAGGGAGTCACTTCTCGGAAAGTCGAGCCGAGCGAGGGGGGGAGTCGTTGGCATAAATTATCGAAAAGTACAGCCCTCGAAAAATCCAGCTCCTCTTTCGTGTGCGCGTACTCGCCTCTTGCGAAATTGCCTCTCTAAAATATGAGAATTATTGCCCGTGGCTTCGTTCCGTCTCGCTCGCGCCTCCTGCGTTACTTGCGCGTTTCTTATTTTGCAAAAGCTTTCTTCCTTTCTGCGACGGGATCCACGCACCCATCGGCAGCATCGCCCGAGAGTTAGAAAGAGAGAAAGAGAGAGAGAGAGAGAGAGAAAGAATCTCGCATCTCGCTGCTTCACCGCGCACGAATCTGAGCGTAGTTTGTTTTGATCTTTTATCTCACCGAGAGGAGAAATCATCTCTCCGCGTGCCAATTCGTAAAAATCAGCTGGTAAAAAAAGCGAATCTTTCAATATCTTCCTTTTCTTCCTCGCCGAGCCCTTCTCACGCGCGGTGCGTGCGCGCGATTCTTTCGCGTGGCCAGTCGCGGTTCATTGACCTTTGAACTTTCTAACCGGCCAGACGCGCGGTGTCCGAATATCGTCCTGTCATTGCGCCTGGATATGGGTCCTCGTCTGACGCGACGCGACCAGACGTCCTGCGGTCCAAATTAATCCAGTCTCGAGACTCGCTGAATATTGGTATTATTATTCAGATTTCGATATGGCATTCGCGTGTCAAATATTCCCTGCTGTATTAGTAAGACAGAGACAATACTTCCCGTTTTCCTCTCCAGTCAATTGGTCTATTACAAGTGAATCAATAATAATAAAATTATATACATCATGTATATTGGATGTAAAAAATGTCAGATATTCACACAGTTCCTCTTTATATTTTCTTTTCATTTTTAAATCCTGAATTGTCAAATATTTTTCTCTGCTTTTTTTTTTATTTATTCTTAAAAAATAGTCTGAAAACAATTCAGAATGAATTAGATATACATGATACAGAGAATTAAAATTTCTCTTCCAATTTTTTTTTCCAGGGGAAAAGAAAGAGATCTATGTATGTATCTATATGTATGTAGATCAAATGTCAATATTTTATTCGAAAAAGATATCGAATTTTCTAAACCGAAAGCTTTAATTTTTCCCATAATTTGATTTTAATATCTATGCAAAGTACGAAGGATAAAATCATCCATGATATCATATATCTTTGATAAATCGTCGGTTGTCGTTACACACTTTGCTTCCAAGCAAATGCGAGCCTTTGCAAGTGTACTTAAAAAGTACCTCCGGTTTTTTTGGTGAATTCTCCGAGCGGAGACGATTTCAAGACGATCTCCATGTTTCTATGCTCCTAAGGATTAGCACGGAGTTGTTTTGCGAGTTTTTGCGAGATTATTTCCCGTGAATAATTTATAGCCTGGTAAGGACGATTAGAGCAGTAGAGAGAGAGAAGCTCTGCTAATCTGCCTAAGAGCGATGCGAGGAAACGCATCGCACTGTCAGTCGTGCATCTTTCTAAAGTTACGTTTAAAAGTTGTGGCTTCCGGCTTGATAGTGAAAACATTTGTTTCTTTGCACGATTTTAATGGTAATATTTTGGCAAAATATACGTAGTAGATTTATAGATTTCAAAAACAATATGAAAATTTACAAAATATACTTTATTAATTGGTTCTTCATGACTATCGTTTTACTTATACGTAGAATTAATACATCTTTGCCAAGAAAGAAAAGGGAAAAAAAAGATCAATGCTGCTGAGAATTTAGCAAGATCGATAGAAGATCTTGCTTCTCTAAGGTATGATGTATTTGTCGAACTCCCGATACGATGACATTTGTCGTTGACATATGGTGCGAAATTCTGTTTTCTTTCTCGCAAAATCGATCGTAGCTTAGGTGCGCGAATGACCGAGCGCACGCACGCACGTATGCACGCATGCACGCACATGTAAGTCGGAGGTTGCGCATTTCTGTTCGTCCGCACGTCGCTGGAGATAGATGAGGGGCTCTATCCCCGGCGCGGAACCAGTTACGACTTGACGAGCTGTGTGTTTCGCGTAATGCCTCGTGATCTTATCGTCTTATTAATAATAAACCGCGAACGGCGTTACACGTCGCGAGAGATGTCCGCCGCCGGGTCGCTGGGTGCTCATCGTGTCCGTTGCTAACGCATCCGTAATCAGTTGGCCGCATTTTTCAACTCTTTTTTCGGCATTCGATTCTTTATGTATTATAAGAGAGCAAATTGTGAATTATTCATACGCTACTTCTAAATGTGCGAGTATTGAAGCGTTAGGAATTTTTCTAAAATATTCAGACGGTAGCTACAGCCTCAGGATGACGGCATAAATGAAACGGAATATTAGTATCTGTTTATCCGCATTTCTCTTCGTGGATATTGAATTATTCATGTATGTGTATATTTTGCTTTTACTATATAATATATCTTGGAATATAAAAATTTAGTTAGAGGGCTAATAAGAGCCAAGCGCAAAAAGTAGGCACACGAAAATTATCTAAAAATCTTTAATTATCTTGCATGTTTTGGTCCTTTTTGGGCATCTTGACAAAACCACTTGACAAGAAATTCATGCGACTTGATCTTCCTCATTGGTTATCATCTTTGATAAGTCTCCTATCGGTTCCAGCTGGTAAGAGATGATGAAAATATATAATTCAAATTGTCAAACATCATGACAACTCATTTGCATCGTCATTTAAATTGATGTGTTTCCCGTGTTAAGTGGAGAGAAGACGTGTATAATGTTGAGAAATGTTGAAAGTCATTTTTCGCAAAGTCATCAGCTTTTAGTGAAAGAGAAAAGCGCACATACATAAAAGCTTTCATTAATTTGGTGTATCTCGAATATCGCGAGTAATTAAAATCGAGTAGAATAATTAAATAATAATTTATTGTCTCGAATTTATTGTTCTAATTGATAGGAAATTGATATTAAAGATGGGAAAGTTGACTTGACATTATGCGGGCATTTTTATTTTCTAAAAACACTTATAGTAGAGTAATAAACAAAAGAATAAATATATTAGAATTAATTACTAGTTGCTCAATGATAACTCAAGAAATTATGATTGTTTATTCCGAAAATTTAAAAAAATTATATATAAAATTTAATTTATTCCCACTTTTTTTTTACAAACACGAAATTTAGAAAAAGCATCGGTTGCTTTTGTTCATTTCGAAATAAAACTTTATGGGTCTTTTTTTGAATAGTTAATTAATAAAAAGAAATAACTTGCAACACACGCACACATACACATACAAACATGAGATTACAATTGTTGTGCAGAATGTAAGTAAAGTTGAGGCATGATGTAGATTGTATATTATTGGTGAAACATATGCTGAAATTTATAAGTACTTGCATTGAGAGAATTATAATATCGAAATTTAAGAAAAATATCAAGAGAGATTTGATGTATATCATTTCATTATACTAATAAGATATCAATAATGCATGAGCTGCTTTGATGGCATCATGACTGGAAAGAACGTAACACCGTAAAATAAGACATCGATGTTTTTAGAACCTTTAAAAAATAAAAAGTTTATACATAGTTTATGTATAAATCTTTTTTCATTATTATATACATAATTTTTAAATAACTATTTCAAAATAACATTTTTAAATAACTATTTGATATGTAATGCAAATAATAAAAATAAATAAAGTATTCCGTGCAATTTTTTTAACATTATAAACTATGTGGGACTAGAAAATTAATTATGTAGTATTATTTACCGCAGCAAAGCTTTCAATTGATAAAGTCATGATTTTACCAGCAGTTAATTTGCAAGGTGACATAGTTCTGTTCATGATTAAAAGAAATATTTTTCGACATCTTTTCGAAGTGTAATACCAGTTTCCTTTGCAACTATAACATAAAACGAGATTTTTACCAGCTTAAATAAAAAAAAAGCGCAGAAATCTGCATTCTTACATCGATTCGTATGGAACAGTACTATAGTCCAACAAAAATTGAGCTTGCCAAAATTGCAAGAAAAGATGAGTGAGTTGCGCAATGTAGATTGCCAAAGGTGCTGCAATATCTCTCGCATTGCTTAAATTCATCACTACCTAGAATAAAAATTTAATTGCTTTCGAGATATTTTTTCGAATTGCCTCTGTTTTTTTTCGTATTAATTCTTGTTTTTTTACAAATATATACGGTATTCCGAAAATTACGTATTCGATTTTGAAGATGTAAATATTATCTTTGTCAAATATTGGTTATAATTGAGAACACTATGAAATTCTTTTTGCTTACAGGATATATATTTATAGCAAAGTATAGCCATAAAAAGAAATTGGTACATACTTGTATACCACCTATACTGCCACAAATCATATTTAAACTAATGCTGATCAGGAACATATTTGTAAATGTAGATTCGATCAGTTCCGCGAATCTGCAAAATAGCGAGGCTGAACGCGGTTGCGGGCAATGTAAAAATATGGATATATAAAGCGGCTATTTATAGTATTTTGTTTAAAATATAAAGAAGAAATCTAGGATAGAAAATAGATATTTTTTTCGTTAACACGCACTCTATTACATGAAGATGCCTACGCAAACAGTCTAATGCTTTATGGTAATTGACGTCTTCTATCTTGTCCAACTTCATATGAAAATTAGCGTCACTATCTTTACTGATATCCTCTAACATGTATCTGGAAGCGAAGAATCTTAATGCGAAAATTCATATTCTTATATTTCAGTATTCAATCGTCATTTCTGTGAATCATCCTTGTGATTCTAATATTCTTACCCAACAATTGAAAACATTCCGCAGGCATGCTGCACTATAGTATAATAAAAGGTGTCAACCGCGATTGTACTAAATACGTGAGCGAATACGCCTAGATAACAGTGAATCGTTATTGGGTAGAAATACTGGTCTAATTTCTTGCCATACTCGACTTGAAATGGCAATTTCGATGCACCCGATATGGGCGACTTTGTTACGTTCGCGGCATTGTCCTCTAATAACGTCATAATGACTGGTTTGATCAAATAAAAGAATGCTGTCATATTCATGAAAACTAAAAAAATATATATATGTGTTATACGAACAAATTTTCTTTGATTTTTATTATTTTCTATGGTTCTTCAAACGATGAAAATGTCTCTTAAAAAAATTATGCAGATAATCTCTTTTGTATCGTCTGTGCAAATTTTAAGGCTTAAAATAAATGAAGGAAAGATTTGAAAAATTACAGAGGATTTAGTACAAAACACACGCTTTCGTATACTCACTCTTACATCCAAAAACTGCACAGTTTGCTATACATTTACAGTTTTTAAAATGTACCTGTGTAAAATATCGTCAGGTACCGTCCGTATTCGCTGTGGCGTGTCAGTATAACCCTTTCCGTATCTGTATTTAACGATAACCAGTCCTCTTCTATCATTTTAAGGCAAGACTTGATCTGTATAAATATGCGCGTATATTTTCCATTGCATTAATAATTTTTATACAAAAGATCACATCGCATTTATATTGTACAATGATTGCTTACATGTTTGCTGTTGAACATCATGTTCGCTATTTTGTAACTGAATATTATGCTAATCAATACGGATGGTAAACCCTCGAAAATATCATCGAGATCCATTGCGTTTAATACGTATAGTAACTGTATCGGATTTATAATATTGTGGAACATATATCAAGATTTTTATTGACGAAGGAAAGAAAATTGTGCAATGAGTTGGTACAATAAATAATCCGTAGTTAATTGTTCTCTCGCAAGAGCGTAATTTTCAAGATTAAACATATATACCTGAGGTATCAGAATACTAAAGCAGAAGGTAAACATCGGCACGAAGCGTATACATCTGTCGCGAAGTCTATGATATGGCCATACTCCCGCTATAGTCATGTATACCTTAGGAATAATATAGTACCGACTGTTCCAAATGTCTTTCTTGTCCAACATTTTGCGAAATACTAATATTACGTATTATCAACGATTCCTTGTGAACATTTATCGCTCGGTGAATTAGAGGAACTCGGTTATCGATTCCTTTTAACGCGGCAAAGACTACGCAATAATTCAACTAGATAATACGTGTGCAATTACTTGTGCCTGAACCCCTTCTCTTTCGCATTTTCATGTAAAGTCAGTCCTTACATCATTTCTCCTTTATCGTAATAATAGGGTACATTTTCCGTATCATTCTTCGAACGCGAAATTAACGAACGCTTTTGTTCATCTCATCTTGAAGAAAACTCAGGTAGTTTCTTTTCAACAATTCGGTAGAGTAGGAGAAGCAGTGAACGCGAACGCAAGAATACAGATTAATATAGAATATAGAGAATAATAATCATAATATACTTAACGATTTAGGGCGAGAGAAAAGAATATCGGATTTGAGTGCAGTTAACATATAATGTGAATAGTGCAAACTGCGAATTTGAAAAATATAAACTTAATTTTTTAAAATAAAAAGTGTACAACGGAAGTTTTCTATTATACTGAAAATGTTCTACTTCTATAATGATGACACCATCGTTGGAAAGAATGGCATCGGTATGAAAACTAGAAATTAATACAATATGTAACGAATAATTTCTCTCTAGTAGATGATCGAATTTATTGTAAACATTATTTCTATTTATTAGAATGGTGTTACGTGGATTTGCAATTGTGCATGAGGGTATCTTATTATAAATAAATAAATATATA